ATATCAACAATTGAAAAACAAAGTTACAATTATCTCAACATTTCTTTTCTAGGACACATGATGAGTGGTGATGATATCTCTATTGATCCTCAAAAAGTTCTGGCAGTCACTGATTGGCTGAGGCCTACTACTGTGTTTGAGATATGCTATTTCTTAGATATGACTGGATATTATAGGAAGTTTATGAAGGAGTTTTCTCATATATCTACACTTCTGATGAGACTGACTCAGAAGCCAGTAACTTTTATCTAGACACTAGAGTAGGAGGCTAGTTTTCAAAGATTGAATGATTGTTTAACTTATGCTCTCATTATGGCTCTTCCCTCTGGTATAGAAGGATTTTAAGTATTCACTATGCTTCACTGAGATGTTTGGGATGTGTTTTGATACAGTACAATAAAGTTATAACTTATTCTTCCAGATAGTTAAAACCATATGAAAGGAACTATCCAATACATAATCTAGAATTGACTGCTGTTGTATTTGCTCTGAAGATTTGGTGGCTTGTATGATGTCAAGTGTGAGATTTTTACTGATCATCTGAGTCTGAAGTGCATATTCACTCACAAAGATCTGAATCTGAGGCAAAGGAGGTAGCTTGAGTTGATCAACGACTATGATTTAACTTTTTAATATTAGCCTAATAAGGCTAATGTGATAACAGACGCTCTGAATAGGAAGTCTTCTGGATTATCATGTATGTAACTCACTTTTGATGAGTATTTGATACAAGATATTAAGATATTACAGTTTGAGGTGATTTCTTCTATTGATTGAGATTCTTGTATAGTGACTCGGTTGATCATTCAGCCTCCTTCAGAATAAAAGATTCATGCAGCTCAAAAATTAGAAGCAAAATATCCAAAGTTGATTGATTAGATCATATCTAATAAGAAATCTGAACTACATATTTTCTTTGTGTTATTTTTATAAGGATATACTTTAGGTTCCTATTTCTGGAGATGTGAGACAGAAGATTTTATATGAGGCTCATTATTCAGGCTATACTATTCATCTTGGAAGTAACAAGATATACAGAGATTTGAATGGTATGTTTTGGTGGTTTGGATTGAAGAAGGATATAACGGAGTTTGTATTGAAGTATGAGGCCAGTTAGCCAGTGAAGGCAAAGCAGCAAAGATCGTGAGGTCTTCTATAGTCATTACCTATTCTATAGTGGAAATGAAAAGAGGTATTACTAGATTTTGTTATAAGTTTTCTCAGATTGAGGCAAGGACATGATGTTATTTGGGTTGTTGTTGACCAATTAGCAAAATTGGCCCATTTCATTCCAATTCGACAGAAAAATATAGTGGATATGTTAGCACAAATCTATGTTAAAGATTTTATCAAATTACACGGTGTGCCAAATGTGATTTTATTTGATTGGGATGACAGGAGGTATTCAATAAGGACTGGGTAAGAATTTGCACTTTAGAACAGCTTTTTGTCTGCAGACAAACAATCAGTCCAAAGGACTATTCAAGTACTGGAGGATCTTTTGAAACTATGTGTTTTAGCTTTTAGAGTAGTTTGGGGGATCATATCCCTTTTATAGAGTTTGCATATAATAATAGTTATCTATCCAGCATACATATAGCTTCTTAGTAAGCTCTGTACTACATAAAATTAGGATTCCTTTAACTTTAATAGAGGTGGGAGATAGACAAGTGATAAGTTCAACATTTGTGGATGATACTATAAAAAAGATCCTTTTTATTAGAGAAAGGTTAAAATCTACACATGATAGGTAAGAGAAGTACTACAATTAGAAACAGGTTGGTTAAGTTTCAGATTAGCGACTTAGTTTATGTCAAAGTCAACCCTATGAAAGGTGTCAGTAGATTTGGGAAAATTAGTAAGCTCAGTCCTAGGCATATTGAACCTTTTGAGATCATTGAGTGAATTGGTAGTTCTGCTTACAGGTTATTGTTACATGATCATATGTTCGATATTCACAGTGTGTTTATGTATCTTCTTTGAGAAAGCGGATGTCTAATTCTGAGAAGATATTTTCTGCTAAGGATGTTGAGGTTCGTCTGAATCTATAATACAAAGAAAAACTTGAAAGGGTTTTGACAAATGATGTAAGAAAATTAAGAAGCAAATATATTCATATGGTCAAAGTACAATATAAGCATAGAACTGTAATAGTAGCTACTTGGGAAAAGGAATCTAACATGAGGTAGTTGTCCAGGCTTATTCTGACTCATTCTAGTCTGAAAATGTTGAGGCTAATATTTTTCTTAAGGTTAGTAGATCATGAAAGCCCAAATTTTTTATGAAATTTTTTAACCTAGAGAAGACAATAATTATTTTAGGAGTCATTATAAGTTCAAATTACAAATCGTCTTTGCCAGAATACTTATAGTATTGTGCTTTAATTACCCTATTTTTTATAACTTTTGGGCATTGTTGAAATTTCTTAAGAAATCAATATCTATCGGTACAAGTGGGGTTTTTGGGACCGTTAGGTGTCCATTTTGTAAACCGATTTCACCAAAAAAATTTAAATAAAATGAGTAAATTTATGGACTTTTTTTTGTAATTTTTGGAATCCCTAAAAATAATTTGGGTTAAAATTGAATAAATTATATAATTATATAAATATTATTTTATTATTTTAATATAAATATCTTTAACCATTATAAGTTTTCATTAAATTCTTTTTTTTTTCTTTTAATTTTCATTAGTAGAGAGGTCTTGGGTGAAATAAAGAAAAAGGAGTGGAGAGAGAGGGAAAATTTTCATTTTGGAGGTCTTAGAACCATTTTCGTCCATCGCCCAGCTGAGAAACTTATTCGGCTTGACATAAGTCACATTATGCTCATCTCAATTTTCAAAAATGCATAATTTTTATCAGTTTTTTTATTAAAATTTTGTATCCATTAGCGAAAAATACGGATAGCTTTGCACAGGTAAAACTTTCACAGTGTAACATTTTATATATTATAGAGATTACGATTACGTATATTTTGAATATTTTATAAAAATTTTATAAAAGGGGGTTAAAATTTGTGGGGTTTTTTTTGAATAAAAAATTATTTGGATGTTAAAAATTAGTGTAGTACAATAAAAATATTAAACCATGTTGGAATTTCTATTTACGACCGTTATACAATGCTGTGCAATTTTGATACAAGCTCAATTATTCTTTAATTACTATAATGTGATGATATATATGAATATGTGATTAAATTATATATGATAGGAGTTATAATGGGCCAGAATTTGTTGAGATTTTGTCTATATCAAAGGATTGCTAGGAGCAATAAGGTGCTAGAATCCTTTAAGATTCTATTTGAGATAGGGATATGTGATATATTATTGTGTTATAGGCACAAACAAAAATGGAGTCATAAGGAGCCAGAATCCTATGAAGTTCTGTCTATGTTTGAGAAATGTGATATGAACTGCTATGTGATGTGAGTTTCAATTTATTTATTTATTTAGCATTATTATTTAAATCAAGAAAAAATTGTTATGCATTTATTACATTTCTTAGTATAGTGATTTATTTAAACTTTATTTAACTACTTTAAAGATTCAGTAAAATATTTGATAAAGGAATATTTAGAAATTTAGATTGGTTTATATGGCCTGTTGAATTGTTATAGCTCACTGTGATTTTGCTTCTAATTTTTTAGGATCTGGGAAGGGAAAGGATATTGTGGACTTGCATTTTAGGATCAGATATGAGGTTATAGATAATTTGCTATTTTGATTTTTGTACAATCATAGCTAGTTAAATTTTTAGTTCTATGGCTCTTATCTTTAACCATGTACTATAATGTAGATATTTATTTTGATGAAATAAAAAAAACTGGTGGATAAGTTTATTTTTAGTATTTGAATTTTTAGTAGCTCTGTAATATGTAGTTCATTTCAATCAATATTGACATAAAATTAAAAATAATTCCAAAACAAGATCTTGAGATTTGTTTGTCACAACTCAACACGATAGAACCTGTCATAGTCGAGTTGGGTTGTGACAAGTTGCCTTCATAATTACAATAGAACAGAGAGCATCCATGTCATAGCAGCATTTTCTAGTGTTGTTGCTCCTCCATAACTAGCGTTGTTGAGCTTTCTAGACCAACTTCGCAAAGCTACATACATTTCTCATATTTTCAAATAAGTTTATTTTTAAACTTTTGAGTTTATTACAATATTCACCTCCAATAGAGAGCACAACATCGTAGCACCATCATACAACACTGCAGCGCCCTTAGAACTGATTTCTACTTGTTAAATTCCCTGAATTTCTTTTTAGTTAAACACAAAAATTATTTATGACTAACATAAACAATGAAAATAATTTCTAAGACTCACAGAAAATCAGGAAATACAAATTAAAAAAAAAATAGTCTTACTAGGTTTAATTTAGGTCATTATTTATGAATGTATTTTTTAGTTATCATCATCCAATCGACATCATCATCCTTCTACCATATCTCTAGTACACTCCACTTTCAAAGAAAGTCGAGCTCATATTCATACTTTAAAATCTTGTATTTTCTAATTAAGAAGAAATAATAACTCTTTTAACTTATTTATATAGTGGATCATCTAATTTAGGCCAGCCTTCCCTCTTCAAGTTCACCACAAAAAAAAAAATAAAAAATAAATAAAAATAAAAAAAACTATAGTGCAAGAACTTCACACAAAGATAAGACAGAAAACTCTCACTTTAGTTTCATATATTTTCTACCTTGCAATAATAAGAAAAATAAAAAATAAAAAGTGTTAAGTAAATATTAAAGTAACATACAAAAAAAAAGTCATTTAACATATTTCAACATACAGTGAAGAGATGGTTTAACTTAAATTATTTAGGTAATATAATTTTTAAGTTAAAATGTAGTATGCAAGGCACATATTTTGGACACGTGTCAATCATTATTTTATTTATTTTAATTGGACATGTATGAGGTTTCCCTCATTTCCAATTTAGCCATTTCAGATTTGCTCGAGTTGTTTCAAGTTATAACAGCCAACAATGAAAAAAATGGATCAGATGTTTCTCATACAAAGTAGATCAAAAGTGCAGAATATCTACTGACAAAAACAAGATATTTTGCTATAATTGCAACATAATCAATTTTTAACTTAAGAAAATCTATTCACAATCCTTGCAACAAGTCAAATAGATCTGCTCTGTCACACTCTTTGAAGGAAGCTTGCTTCTTCGCTTGTTTGTCAGAGCTGTTTATGTTCTTTAAATCCAAAAAATAAACGTTATAATACAATTTCCATATGACACCTTGTTAACATCAGAGATGATGTCAAAGGATTGCTCCACTAAACTCTCTGATCCACATGAAATGAAGAATTTACAGAACCATGAAGCATACTGAGCAACAAGAGAAGATGACAGAGACCCAAAGGTATGGATAGCAGGATTTACAGTGCATATAATCTTCAGGCTTTCACCTCTTAAATAATGAAAAAAATAGCACAATCTTATCATCCTCCTAGAACAAGTTGTTCTGCCTGCTAAGCCTCACAGGCAAGCCAAAGTTTTGGTATATCCTGATATTACCTCCCAGGTCTGCAGTAACAACAACTAAACCCCAAGCATTTGAACTCTCCAAACTGTTTGTAACCACCTTCCTGCTTCCACCAACCCATCCCCAAGATGCAAATGACGACGAAGAATTAATGGAAGACCGTAGTGAGCGCAAAGAAGATGAGTTGCTCAGGCCAGATGCTGATGGTTGCACTTTGTCGGGGCTTGTAGGGAGTATTTGTTCCAGCAAGCCCTTCTTTGGGAAGGAGTCATGTAGGCTGTGGCTTGATTTCTGTGATCTGTTTGATGGCCCCAAGTTTCCTGAGGATGGCAATGGCAAAGTTGGCTTCTCATGGTTGCTTCCATTGTTCGGCCATGGGATTGCAACTGAGACATCCTTGCAGTAGAAGTACTCGTGGGATCGAGTGGTAACCCAACCCTTACTTTTCCCTCCACCACCGGCCCTATGTGCTGTGCCACGCTTCCATATGTACACATTGGAGTCCTCGCTCGCACAGATGATGTATTTTCCGTCTGAAGAGAAGGATGCTGATATCTGACTGCTTGTATTCCGAAAACCTGTAGGTGATAACTTCATCAGAGATTTTGTATAAATAGTTTCGAATGTTTCTTCAAACTACAAAACATCTTTAGAATTTCTTGTTTGGTGAGTAGTATAGAGGCATTGAAAGTAATAATAAAGCTTTTAGTTTCTGCAATGTTATACACAATGATTTGACGGTTATCTATCATCCAGTTTCTCAAATACAGTTGGTGGAACAGCTATTTGCAATACTTGTGAAAAAACTCGACCGAATTATTCAGCTCTTCTTCTTTCTTCTCGTTTGTTTGGTTTATAACATATTTGTATCAGATCCACGGCCAATTCCAGCAAACACCTCGCCAACGAAATCATTCATGACAAGAATTCATTGCATGAAGAAACTTCCACTCAATGAGAATGAAACATTTTCTTCCTTCAGACTATGAGCAAATGCTCTATTTGCATACCAAAGATGCATTCAAGGATATTGAATGATAAGTGCCTATATCAAAGAGTTCTATTGCCTCAATACTATGAATAATTTAAATGAAGTAGATCAACAATTAGTTATGAGATATATAAGGAGATAGAGAGAATCAATACAAGACAAATTAGAGATGAATTTGATTTGATCACTTTCACAAGCTGTCAAATTCATGTATAACCTCAACTTGCATCAATCAAGGATGCCACCATCCAACCAGAACCAGAACCAGAACCTGAACCACTTGCCACCATCCAACCTGAACCAGAACCTGAACCACTTGCCACCATCCAACCAGAACCTGAATCACTTGCCACCATCCAACAGCCACTACCTGACCCCGAACCACTTACAAAGCCACTCCAACCCATAAGGGAACGCTACCTTGCATGAGATCCTACTGTCGGGCCCTTGGGAGAAGATCATGGTAAATTCACTTATCTGGTTCATTATACACGACCTAAATCCTCCTTAATTCCCATAAACAGCATCAAACCAACCGGTTGGGATGATAAGGAACTACCTCCTCCAAAAGAACCACCATCAACTCCATCAGAACCATCCAAGGCTTGTTATACTATTAACGAGCAATTAGCTGACCTGGATTACCCCAAACTAAGAAAGATGGCTTCCAAAGCAGAAAACCTCTACGCCTCTGTATCTTCCAATTATCTGCCATCCAATGAACCCGTCATGGGACCAGTAAATTACCCGCCAGCTACCAATACCTCCACACAAAATGACCCTTCACTACCATATCCCTTTCAGTATTATAAACCCAAAACCTCTCACTTCCGAAAATCATTTCACCAAAATATGTGGAACTTGCCTTCCGCCCATAATAACCAAGGAGTTCGACTCATTCTCCCAGATGATTTCTCCTTATATGATGATGTTATTTCAAGATGGGAATCTATTGCCCTGAATCTCCTTAATGACAAGCAGTTCGCCGATAATAAGGCGAAAGTACTATTTATTGAAAACCTGCTTGGAGAAGTTGAAAAGAAAATCTGGATCCAATGGCGCATGGCCTATGAAACTGAGTACGAGGCATTAGTCAACATCGCTGATGACCCTCAGAATGTACTATCCCAGATAAGAATAATTATTACACTTGAAGATCCTTATCAAGGCTCGACTGAAGAGCAGAATAGAGCCTACCTCGACCTTGAAAGATTATCATGTGACCAGATTAAAAATATGTTCGAGTACATGAACGATTACAAGGTTCTAGCAGTCAAATCAGGACGTATGTATATTAGCTCGGAACTATCAGAAAAATTCTTCAAAAAGATGCCCCCCATCCTCGGAGAGGAAGTAGAAAAGGCATTTAAACAGAGGCATCCTGGAAACACTATAGGGGTACTCCCTCGAATCAAATTCACCTATCAGTATTTAGCAGACCTTTGCAAAAAGGCTGCCATTCAACGGGGAATTAAAGACCTCTATATGCTGAAAAATACCTATCCCTGGGTATTACAATAACCAAAAGAGGTTTGGGCTAAGAAAATCTAGGAATTACAAAGGTAAGCCACACGACACCCATGTTCGTGTCATTAAAAACAAAAATAAACCAAGAAGTACAAAATGCCGATGCTATATATGTGGGGAAGAAGGCTATTTTGCTCGAGAATGCAAGAGCAAAAGGGGAAATATGGCACGAGCTGCTGTAATCAACAACCTAGAACTGTCAGATGATTACGACGTTCTATCGGTCGATCTCGACGAAGACCCATCAGATGCTATCTGTAGCATCTCAAAGGGAGAAGGAATAAACAGCCTAATGCACATACGACATGCGTTAGAAGACATTCCTGATGAAGTGGTAATGATGCTAAATGAAGATCTTGGTTGGCGATACAAAGTTACACTCACAACATAACAAGAATAATACAAGCATCAATGGGAGCATAATAGACCCATCTCAGGGCCATACTCAAGGTGCACTTACTGCTCAATCATCACAAATATCCAAATGCGTATACACTGTAACAATTGTAAAATCACCGCTTGCCCTCTATGTGCAACATTTTACCTGTCAATAACTATCCAAAAGGAGCTCATTCTTCAACCATATCAGAGCAAGGAGAGCCTAATCCAAGAGCTAATCAAATATTCAGATCATCTTGTTGAAGAAAATAAGAGGCTAAAAGAACAGATCAAGAATATGATGGAGACACACCTTGAAGCTGAAAGAAGAGAATTGCTGCTACACGACAAAGGCAAACAAACTACCGAAGGCAGCGACGAAGAAGAAGAAGCACAAGAAACTCGCATCATGATTGAATACATCAAAGAAAGTGTAGAAATGCCTACCAGGAAGGTTTTAAATCGCCTCTTCAATATTGTCATTTTCTTTGAAATACCAGACGTACCAGCATTCAGCCTCCGAGCAATAGTTGATACCGGTGCAACATCCTGCTGTGTCAACACAAAGGATGTACCTGAGGCAGCGCGCGAAGAACTCAGCTATCAGGTATCGTTCAATGGAGTAAACTCAATATCCCAATCACAAATAAAAGTCAAAAATGGCACCATGATTATAGGTGATAATAAATTCCGAATTCCCCTTATTTATTATTTTGATATGAATACTCGAGATGGAATTCAAATGCTCTTGTGATGCAACTTTTTACGAAGTTTACAAGGAGGGGTACGAATATAAGGAAATATGGTAACCTTCCACAAAGAAATCACCCCCATATATACAACACCAGATCTTGAGATTGCATCCAAACAAATCGAGGAGTTAGAGATCAATTATGAAGCCTATCTGGAGCTACAACCAGAATGGATCTGTACAAATCGGCAGATGGAAGGGAGCCATTCCTCAAAAAAATTAAGGGTGAAGGCGGCCATGGATGGATCTTCGAGAAATAGGAGGTTATGGAGGATTCAGGGGACATGGGGTAGACCCACGGGTGAGGAAGCTGAAGATGCCCGTCTTTGAGGGTGAAGGCGGCCATGGATGGATCTACAAGGTGGAGCAATACTTTGCTGTCAACGGGTTCACAGAGGATGAGAAGTTGACAACAGCGGGTTTGTGTCTTGAAGGAAAAGCCTTGGCATGGTATCAGTAACGTGACAAGAGGGAGCACATCCGGAGCTGGAGAGAATTCAAAGATTGCTTATTAGAGCGTTTCCGAGCCGATGGGGGAGGAGACTTTCTATGAGCAATTCTTTTCCTTGACTCAGGAGGGGGCTGTGACAGATTATCGGGACATGTTTGAGTACTTGGCTAGCAGATTGGATCACATTTCAGAGTCAGCTCTAGAAGGGAACTTCATAAAAGGGCTGAAACCTGAGATACGAACAACAGTCAGGGTGCTGGAGCCGAGGAACCTAGGGAAGGCTATGGAGCTGTCACAGTTGGTGGAAGATCAGAAGAAATCAGAAAGAGGAGCTCGAGGAAACTATTCAGCGGGATCATACAAGATGACTACCACCTTCTTACCATCAAAAGGGACAGCACCAAGGAGTCTGAAGGAAGCGCCAAAGGAGAAAACGGATGGGGGAAATGGCGGACAATTCAAAAAGCTGACAGAGAAGGAGATGCAGGGCAAAAGGGCAAAGGGGTTGTGCTTCAGATGTGATGAAAAGTACATGCCGGGGCATAGGTGCAAGGACCGAATTCTTCAGGTTCTCCTTGTTTGTGAAGACGATGAAGACGAGGAGGGAGGTGGGAGCAGATCTGAGGAGGAGGAGAAGCTGCACCTGTATATGGCAAAAGTCTCTCTGAACTCTGTAACTCTGTAGTCGGATTCACTCCGAGTCACACTATGAAAGTGAAATAAGAGATAGTTAACCGTGAGGTGGTGGTGTTGATTGCTAGTGGGGCAACCCACAATTTCATTTCTAACCAGATCGTTGAGCTGTTGGGGATGGAGTTGGTGGACACAAGAGGTTATGGGGTGATGATGGGCACCGGAAAGATGGAAATGGGTAGAGGAATTTGTAGAAGGGTGGTGCTGAAGATTCAGGAGATCCAGGTGAGGGAGGACTTCCTTCCCTTGGAATTGGGGAGCACTGACGTCATCCTGGGGATGAAGTGGCTACAGACATTGGGGGAGACCAAAATCAATTGGGGGACAGTAGGGATGGAGTTGGTAGTGGGAGGAAGGAGGAGGATGATTCAGGGTGATGACAGGCTGACCAAGGCAGGGGTTTCTCTCAAATCCCTAATCAGAACCATTAAAGAGGGAGGAGGCTACTTAGTGGAGTTGCACCGCCTGGAAGGGATCAGATTAGAGGAAGAAGGCAATGTTCCCACTACAGTTCAGCCGCTCATACACCAGTTCAGTGAGGTCTTTCAACCTCCCCAAGGATTACTTCCACAGAGGGAGTTGGAGCATGCCATTACGTTGAAAAAAGGGGAGACACCGATCAGCATCCACCCTTACCATTACCCACAAATTCAGAAAGATGAGATTGAGAAGTTGATCCGGGAAATGCTGAAGGCAGGGATCATCAGACTCAGCAACAACCCTTTTTCTAGTCTAGTTCTCCTGGTCAAAAAGAAGGATGTGAGTTGGAGATTTTGTGTGGATTACA